GAGTGTGACTTGTTGGGTGTTCCACAATGGGTCTCAAAGAATGAGCACAAAGTGGACAGTCCCAGTACTCTGGCTTCAGGTCCTGAGCTGGAGCTTTGATCCCAGCCTGAAAGACATCGTGTCTAGAACTGAGAACTAGGTGAGAACTGTACACCCGTATTCCTGAACTCTTCCTTTCCTAATTTTTGACACCTCTCCTAAAGCTTAACGCTCTCTCTACCCCATCGGCATGACTGCGGAATTGAGTCTTCCTGCTACTCTCCCCGAGCGCCTTTCGAGAAGGAACCGTGCTGGATCTGAATGGTTTACTTTTCAATAATTTATTCTGTGGTGCAGCACCAGGGATTCCTCCCAGGGTCTCATGCAAGCCAGGCAGGTGCTCAGCCACTGAGCTGAAGTCCCAGCCTTCTCCCTTTCAAAAAGGTTTTACTGTTTATTTGGAAAGGGTCTCACTAGGCTGCCCAGTCTGGCTTTGCACTGCCATCCTCCTGCCTTTGCCAAATATCTGGGGTTATAGGTGTTGCCACCGCACCCAGCTTTCCATTTTTTAAACAGAAACGTAAAGGTTGCATAGATGAATGGGGTCATACATAATGTTCCATACATGTATATGTTGCATGATGTTCCTACCAGTTTAATCGCATTTATTTCCTTATCTGACAATTCTTTGTGGTGAAAACACTCCAAATCCTGCTGGGTAGCATTCTGAAATGTTATCTGTAGTCACCATACTGGACAATAGCACCCCATAGTTTCTTGCTCTTAACTAACTATAATCACTCTGGTAACGGCCTCTCTATACTTCTACAAGGTCCACTGTTTTAGATTCTACTTAGCAGAGAAGCTGAGCAGTGCTTGTTTTCCTGTGCCTGACTGATTTCACCTAACATAATGATCTCCACTTCTATCCATGTTGTCACAAGTGAGGTTTTCTTTTTTGTGGCTGAGTGGTGCTCCACTGTGTATATATGTCACATTTTCTTCGTTCATTTATCAGCTGATGGACACCTTGGTGGTTTCCATTCCCTGGCTATTGTGAACAGTTGCACAGTTAATGTGGGAGCAGAGGTGTCTTCTCCGTGATGACTATTTCATTCTCTCATCGATGAGAAGGGAAGCCAGGTTTATGATACGGTTTCCTTCTGTCACAGCTGAAGATTGAGATGTGAGACATGCTCGTCATTTGCTCTCTTGTGGCCCGTTCTTTTCTGATCACTGGACACAGAGACCATTGGAATTATGATATCATGTCTCACAAAGTTAGACTGCTCACATTTAAAACTTTAGATATGTGAAAGAACTTTGCAGCCAGGCGTGGTAATGTAGGACTGTAATCCCAGCACTTGGGAGACAGAGGCAGAAGGATTGTTATGAATTTGAGACCAGCCTGGGCTATACAGTGAGCTCTAGGCCAGCCTGAACTACCTAGCAAGATCCTGTCTCAAAACAAAACTTAAAAATAAAGAATACTGTGACTAGATGGAATGAATTAAAAAAATAATGGAATGTAAACCGTTTATACATAACCCAGTCCTCCCCCTCAATCCCTGCTCCTGGGGGTCATTTCTAATGGTTCAGGTGAGACTCTTTATGAATCAAATGAGTGGGTGAGAAAGGTCTCACACCTTCAAGAAAGTACAATTCCAACATATTGAAGTCACTTTTTCTGACCTGCTTAGTGTATATAAAATGGGCAAAAAATATAAACATTGTGTAGTGATAATTTCGCTGCAGTATGCATTGGTTAACACAGCGGGTGATTTTGTGTAAACTTGCAACTTGTTTTCTTAGATTCCTTTCCTTAATGGGAAAAGTAAGGTACTAGTTTGTAGCTTAATCATTTACCCTACTTAGTGATTTTGCTCTAAGCCCTGTACATATCAGTGAGCATAAATATGAATGTAGTTGGGTGTGGTGGTGCACACCTGTAATCCTAGCATGTGGGGAGGCTGAGGCAGGAGAATCAGTGGGCTTTGTAGGCCAGCCTAAGCCACATAGTGAATGCAGAGCCAGCAGGGCTGTACAGCGAGACCCTGTCAGAAAAAACAAATGAATGTGTACGATACTTAGGTGAGCTGATAAATGTAATAGGAGACATGACCTCTGTTTCTATATATACATGAAGTAGCATTTTATTTGCAGAAAATTTAAAAAGCGGAGCAAAGCACAACAAAAATAATGACCCTAGACAGATCCCATTCCTTTGCTGCTGCAGTTGCAATTGTGTCAGCAGAGACAATAGCAGTTTATTTTTTATTAAAAAAAAAGAAGTTTTGGTGTTTAAATAAACTTGACAGACACTTCATTCAGGAAAAAAAAAAAAACCCTCATTTCCATGGGACTTAACAACTAGTGCAGACTTTACAAAATAGCCAGCGACCTCTTACATTTCTTCCCATGCATTTTTGTGGGGCCAGGAAGGGCCCAAGGGTGTTCCGGGATGCGTGCGCGAACAGAGCTGGCAATCTGATGGGCTGCGAGTTTCCTGGGAATGTATCAGTAGGTCGTCTCTGCAGAGTATCAGGTGAGATCTCATGCAGTTAGCTCTCTGCTTTAGAAATGCTTCCTAGTAGTATTTTTTTTCTTCATTTTTATTAGTACATGTTTGTAGTACGTAATCACATTCCCCATGGGGAATTAGTATGCATACATATCTTAATGCTTTTTTAAGATTCCTCTCTCCCCTCAAACCATCTCTTGGTTGCCTTTCCATATGCAGAAGATCTGTCTCGCCATTAAGAGTTTATCCTTCCTTATGGCATATAATCCATTGTGCATAAATACATCCTTTTTTTTTTGAGGCAGGGTCTTGCAATATAGTTCAGGCTGGCCTTGAACTCACCGTGTAGCCCAGGCTGGCCTCATACTCATGAGTGCTGGGATTACAGACGTGGTCCACCATGCCTGGGACATGTTCCTTATCCATCCATCTACTGATGGCCTTACAGACCACTCTCAGGATGTAGCTATTGTGAACTGTGCTTCTAGAAACATGCGCGTGCACGTATCCCTGTAGTACGATGTCCTTAACTCTTTTGGGAGGATACTTAGAAAGGGAATAGCTGGGTCAAATGAAGTTTTCCGGTGAATCACCATTCTGAGTTGCATAATGGTCGTATTAGTTTACACTCCACCAACAATACAGACGCACAAACCCCCACCCGGACTCCGGCCTCACGAACAATTGCTATATCTGATTTATTTATGGTGGCCATTTTTCCTGGAATAAGATGGAATCTCAGCGATTTTTATTGTTTCTGTTTCGTGACAGGGTTTCGTTACGTAATGCAGATGGACCTTCAACCCACAACGTAGCCTAGGCCAGCCACAAACGCTCAGTTATCCTACTTCAGTCTCCAAAGTGCTGGGGTTACAGCCATACACCAACCTGTTTTAACTTACAATTTCTCTAATAGCCAGAGACGTTGGACATTTTTTCATGTATTTATCGGCCAGTTGTATTTCTTCTCAGAAGTTTCTGCTCATTTCAGTTGTCCATTGTTTGATTGGGTCTTTTATTTTTGAGCTCTAGTATTTTTGAGCTCTGTATATATTCTACATATTAGTCCTCTGTCAAAGAACTAGAGGACAAAATTTTTTTCCCATTCTGTGGTTTGTCTCTTTACTCCGTTGGTTGTTTCCTGTGCTGTGCAGATTTTAAGTTGGCATGACCCGCTTGCTTATTTATCATCAGCTGGGGCTCTGTTCCAACTATAATCCCAGCACTTGGCAGACCGAGGCAGGAGGACTGCAGTGAGTTTGAAGCCAACCTGAACTATAGTGAGACCGTGTCTCAAAAAAATACTTAAACTATATAATCATTAGTAAAAAACAGGCAGCAACCAATAATAGGGGTCACTAATAATATCTAAGTCTCCCTCTTGGCATAGCCTTTGAGTTCCCACTGGAGGACACGCCGGGCCGGGGCCATGTGAGGATCTATCAGAGCCATAGCTGCCACCAATCTGCACGGATGTAGCGATACAGTGTCCAGCAAGGCCCCGGCTGTGCGCGCGCCGGCTGGACTGCAACCCCGTAAGTATGTAACCAAAAAGATGCAGGCGCCCTAGAGACAAGGAACCCGCATGCTCTATCTTGGAAAAAGGGTATCACGCATATTTTAAGGGTACAAGTAATGTGTGTTCAAGTAATTGTGAACCCCAAATATCAGGGAAATTTGGAATTTTTATGCTTTGGACGCGAAGGATGTCCCATGATGATTTTTAAGACTTCAGGTCTAGAGTGAACTGCAGAGTACTTTTTAAACAATCCCGCATCCCGTCTGCGGACCCGCGGACCGCGACGGCGTCCCTGTCGGCGGCCGGGGCTGCCCCTGCGCCAGCGAGGCGGGTGCACGAGTGGGTGCCCCGAACCCCGAGCAGGAGGGGCAGCCGGGAAGCAGGCCGGGCTGCGCGCCGGGGTCTGCGGGGCACGGTCCCGGCCCCGAGAGCCGCCCTGCGGGGAGGCAGCCGCGGCGGGACGCAGAGCGCAGCCTCGACGATGGGGACGGCTCTCCGCCCGCCCGCCTGTCCGTCCGTCCATCCGTCCGAGGCCACTGCCCCGCTGCGCCCTCGGGCCGTCCCTGCCGCGGGAGTCGGACGAGCCCCTCCGTGGGGACCCCGAGGCCCTCCGGGCTGGCGGCCCAGCCACCCGCGCCTCGACCGAGGGTCCCGCTCGCCTCCCTGCGCCGAGCCCGCCTCGCCGCCTTCTCGCGCCTCCGCGCATGCGCCGGGCCGTCCCCCGCGGCGCCCTTTCTGGGAACAAAACTAGCGCCGAGCTGAGGACCTCCGCAATTTGCGTAGACCCGAGCTTCCTACCGCTCCGACCCTCGGAGCCTCGTCCGCGAGGGGCGCCGCTTCCCTGCGCGAGCGGCGCTTCCGGAGCGCGCGGCGCGTACGCCCGTCGCGTAGCGCCCATAGGCGGAGGGGCTGCGCCTGCGCAGAGCGCGCCGCCCGCCCGGTACGCCGCTAGCGTAGCGCGGCAAGGGACACCCGGACCTGCGCGACGCAGTTGGCGCAGCGGGCGTTGGTGAATCCACGACTTGGTGCAGCCGGGTTTGGTACCGAGCGGAGAGGAGATGCACACGGCACTCGAGTGTGAGGTAACTATAAAACCCCGATTTGTTTACATTCCCTCCCCCAGAACCGGCCCCGTGCGCCGCGGAGCCTGCGAGGCCCGGGACGCGGCGGCGGGCGGGCGAG